GGCGGCGGCGTCGGCTGCATTTGGCCAACCTATTTGACCTATTTAGCTTTCTCCTCGTGCTTCTGCCGAAGCTTCATACTAGAGTCATTTTGAAAGGGCATTTCGGTTAGCATTCACTAGTCAAATAGAAAATCAAGAGTTAAAATTAATGACATTCAATATTACGCTCCTGATATAAATTATTTCGCTATTAATAAAAAAAATTTACTATGAACGAATCATCGACGTGTTGACTTTTTCATTACAGGTTATTTAGATGATATCTAAATATTGAATCCTTTTTAGGACAGTCTATATCTAATTGAATTCATTAGGTCAATTTGGTAGGTTATCTTGACAAGTTAACTCAACTGATAAACTTGATAGGTCAACTTGATAGGTCAGCTCGACCTACCTGTTTAGGTGCATATATCAAAGTAACACAATGTGTTATTACAACACAAATATTAGAACTTACCATATTTTTCCATATATAACAAGAAAAAATTTTTAGTTACAGACTGCGAATGCATTCCAAAAATTTATAAAACGCTTCATTTACACACGTCTTTTTATGATTAAACATATGACATGATTTTAAATTTTATGATTTGAGGTTTTGAATCGTTAAGAGATAATTAATTGTCGGCTCAAATTTTTCTTTTTATGATAATGTTTCATTAAGAAGGGAATGTAAAATTTTGGTACCACCAATCTCATGTATCATCGGGAACATAAGAGCAAATAAAGCCCATCTTAAGCACATATTAATGTAGTGGTTGATCAATCAATACTAGTTATGTGTAGGGGGTGCAAGTAAGCCATTATAGCTTGTGAGCCAGCTTGAGCTTGCAGACTTCCTAATTAGCTCACAAGTCAAGCATATTGAGCCACAAGTTCGAGTTTGTGCTCGGATTCAGGCATGTATGTATGTTTTACCAACTCAAGCTCAAGTTTAAACTAGCTTGGCTCATTTTTTTACGAGCTAGTTCAAGTAAATATTAAAATATAACTACACATTTTGTCATTTTAGGTATTATTGAGTTGCCTCCCAGCTATCGTAGTCTCACGAACCACCCTTCTACAAATTATACCATCATGTGACTTCCTTTTCCTCATTGGTCTATGTATTTAAGCCATGCACTAGTGAGCTTCCTTTAAAACTTCTTATTCTTCTCTAGGCTTCTAGCATTGCCCTCATTGATGTCTTCTTCAATTAGCTCCCATACCAAATTACTTTATTTATCAATTTATAAAATCATTTATAAATATAGATTGTTGATAATTGTTATGTCTGTGGTGGAGCCAAGATCTCAAGACATAAAAAACATTGATTATTTATAACAATTTGTGAGCAGTATTAAGTTGGTGCATGGTGGAACAAGCACCTTAATTTTTCAGATCAAAATAATAATTACAAAAATATTATTACTTATTACAAGATTAAAATGAATCAATATTACGTCATTTATGAGAATGACACTATAAGGTAATGAAAATTTTTAGAGTAATTTTTAACATGTAGTGATTATTGTGATTTTTGTGCTTCAAAAAGACACAGAACAAACACAATCATTTCAATTAAAAATTAACATTGTAAGATTATTTTGTAAATCAGCATGTCTACATATGAAGTATAAATTTTTGGTTAGTGATAAATTAAAATAATTTCTAGGTCAAGAAACTACTCATCTAATCAAGAGGGGCGCTTGCCTCAGCTTAGTGGAACCCATTCATCTTAAAAGTGAATAGTCAAAATCAATTGGACTCACCTTAATTCTAAATTACTCGCTCCATTTTAGACTAAATTGCTTAGGTTAGGGAGATTCACCCTAAATCTAAGGCGCTTGATTACTTGAAAAGGATTCACATTGGCTTAATGTCATTTGCCCAACTCAAATGAACTTGCCCCCTCCCTGAATACACTTTTGCCTTATGAAATTAGTAGGAGAATGACGAAGAGATAAGAAGAAAGATAAGAAAGTAATAATTCCTATTTCATATAAATGCAATGTATCACAAAGAGTATATAGCTATGTGTAAGAATAATTAGTTAGGGTTCAGTCGGGCTAGAGAGATGAACTAATTATTGTTATAATTCCCTTATTCTTCAGGTACTCTATCATGCCTCTCCAAGATGACATCTCTATTAGATAATGTTAGCTTCTCTCAATTTCTGTAGTTGTAGAGTTGGAAGAGATTTGATGAATATCAGTTGTTTCATCATCCATAAAAAAAAATAGGCAAAGATTATTTCATTGGATTTGATGTGTTCTCTCATAAAGTAATAATCTATTTCAATATGTTTAGTCCTTACATAAAAAATTGAATTTTAAGCTATTACCATTACTGATATGTTGTCACAATGAGGCATGGTTGACTCATTGAAAGTGATCTGAAAGTCTTCTAGAAAACTTCTTAACCATATGATATATGTTGCAACTGACGACAGAGATCTATATTCAGCCTTTGTAGACAATCATCATAGTTGTTTGCTTTTAGTCATATCAAGATAGAATATAGGGTCTATGAATGTGCAAAGTCTTGTGATTGAATGTTTGTTATTAGAATCACTAGACCAACTAGCATCAATATATGAGTGTCGCACAAGTGGTCCCTTCTTGAGTAGTATGCTTAAGTTTTGTGTTGCTTTGATGTATCTTAGAAGCCATATAAGATTTTGAAAATGAATTTTGAGATGAAGTGGAAGATATTGTGATTGTGTGTTAACTACAAATGTGATGTCTGGTTTGATGATAAGTGATGGGTTTGAAAATAATTAATTTGATTCGATGTTAAGTTTAGCTTATAGAAATTGAGGATTTGGGATAGTTTTTAAATCTTTTGTGTCAGCTCTATTGAGAAATTTCCTTGCATAATTGAATTGGCATAGATGATATCCATAGTTTGTATATTATTTGAATTCTGAGAAATGTGGAAACTAATTCCATTAATTTCATGGAGAAGTTTTATTGTAGTTCTTGCTACAAGTAATGTATCACACTAGAGTTTTTTTTCCTATAACAAGGGTATCATTTACATATAATAACATATAAATGACACTTGTGATGTGTTTGTGGGTATAGAGTGAAGGATTGACTGCTCGGTTGACCCAAACAAAATTATATGATTGGTTAAAGTATTAAACCACTATCTTGGAGCTTGTTTGAGCATACAAATAATTTTGTAAGGGAGAAGCATGTTTAGGAATTTTGAAATCAATGTTTGTGTACTTTTTCATGTAAGAAAGCAATGGGCACATCAATTTGTAAGATATTTTAGTTTTGGTGGAGAAAAACAACAAGTAGATGTCTAATTGTAGGTAATTTTGGCACTAGACTAAATGTATCTGCGTAGTTTAGTCCATACTCTTGTTGATAGCCCAATGCCACTAATCGAGATTTATATCTGGCCACAAATCCATATGTTTTCTTATTGATTTTGTATGTCATTTGCTATCAAGTATATTTTTATTTGTAGGTGGTGGAACTAGAATCCAAGTGTTTTAATTTTAAAATGCTTGAAATTCTTCTCCAATAGCTGTCATTTGATTCAATATTGGTGGAGGGTTTGTGATATGTATTGGTGGATAAGAACCTCTGTTTGCTGGTGTATGCTTTTTTTTTAAGAATTTTTGACATAGATATTAATGTAAATGGTAGTGGTGGATGAGACAATTGATTTTTCTTTTAATGAATTATTTGTTGTTTGTAAGGTTAAAATTTTTCATTATATACAACATGCCTTAAGATTAGGATTTTACTAGTTGGGGATCAAAGCATTTGTATCTTTTAGTGTGTTTGGGATAACCTAAGAAAATGCAAGGAAAATATCTTTGTTGAAGTTTTTTTCCCTGGATTGGTGGTAACCAGGGCAAACCCTCGCATCCATATGCCCCTATATGATTGTAATAAAGAGTTATGTCATATAGCATATGATAGGGAGATTTGTGAGATGTCATTTTGGATGGAAGTCATTTGATTATGTGAATTGCTATAAGAGCACTTTCAATCCAAGAAAATAAGGAAGTTTTGAATCATCAAGTAGAGCTCAGATGGTTTCCAGAATATGGTGATGTTTGTGTTGGACAATACCATTTTGCTGAGATGTATATTGACGTGAAATCTGAGGTATTATGCCATAGTTATGAGTAAATTGCTAAAATATGAGTTTTGTATTCACCACATCCATCAATACCGAGAGCTTTTCTATATTTGTTGAATTGAAGTTGTACTTATTGTTTGAACCTTATAAATTTATTAAAGACTTCATACTTTTGTGTCATAGGATATAAATAAGTAATCTGGTAGAATCATCCACAAAAAACACGTAATATCTATATCCTTAGCTTTAAGCCATGTTGAGGAATAGTTCCATCAATAAATCCCAAGAATCCATTGGCCTTTTGAACTTAATCATTTGAGGTCTCCATAGTTAATAATTATTAGTAGAGAGGAATATTGTGAAAACATTTTTCAAATTGGACATAATAAACTTATGTATCTTGAACTACGGTAAATAAAATTCTCATTTTCTCTAAAATTTAGCTATTGTTGCTCTTTTCATTACTTTAATCTCGTAGATCTTGTTAGTAGGGTTTGGGTGCCATCCTCAAATAAATTTATTTCCAATGCATCTAAATATAAATATCACTATGATTTTGGTGATGAATTGAATTATAAATTTGAGAAAAACTTGGGCACAATGTGCTAGTAGTCTTATTTTGATAAAAAAAAAATATATTGGTATGATATAGCTATTAAATATATTAGAGCCAATTTTCTATAATTATTTAGGATGATAAGAAATAAATGCTTAATAATATTTGTCATCCTAGTGCTAAGAGAGATTTTCTTGAACTTAAATTTGAAATTGACATCCTAGTGTAAATAAATTCTTTTATTAAAGTTATGTCTCGTGATTTTTTCCCTTCTTAAATTTAAAATATAAAAAATCTCATAACTTTTATGACTATGTAAAATTTTAGCTCAATGTCAAGAAAGTAAACTTTCGCCATAAATATTTTAGTATAAAATATAAATAAGAAAAATGATACAAATTAATGTAAATAGCAAATTTAATAAACATAGGAGCTTTTCTATGCAATAATTTTTGGGCAATTTTTTTTATGACAGGACCAAGGGTTCTTAGGAGCTACTTCTTTGTTTTTAGAAGTTTCGCCAAAACAATTTTTGTCGATATATTTTATGTACTTAGTTTCTAAAAAATGCATAGTTATTCGCAAAAAAAAAAAAAAAAAAAAAAAAAAAATTTTATATATATTAATTTTTTATTTT